GCAGGATTGATGCCATGCTGCAAGCCAAACGCGGCTGGACACCCGGCCGCTCTCCCACCGAGCCATGTAGCACCGCCAGCACGCTCACCAGCGCCGCGGCCGGGAGCTTTCCTCCATGAATATCTCAGCTTCTCCAGGGGTTTATCAAACACCCCTGAACATCCCTCGCTCCAGCAGCTTCTCCAATAAATCTCTGGCATGTTTTTAAACAAGAGAGCACAAAGCAACTGGAGAGGGACCGGGAGCCGGGGCATCGCTTGCCTCTCCCCGCTTTTGGGGGCAAAGCCCCCCCCGGCCCTCCGCTGCAACGGAGGGAAGGGGAGAGGGGAGACGTGTCTCAGCACAAAGGGCCGGGACCAGGAGGGCAGGTTTCAGCGCCTGGGAGGTACGTGAGAGCACTTGGGAGACCAGTGGGAGAGCCTGCATGGTCCAAAAGGCCAAGTATTGCAAACAGGGGAAATCTGCCCATTTTCTACAAATCAGTCTTGTCCCCCATCCCTTAGTAGGCGCAATACTGAAGCCACTTTCCCCTTGTTCTGCAGAGTCCCAGCCGATCCCCATGGATCGTGGCACCGGCCAGCCCCGAGGTGCCCAGCGGGTCCCACATCAGCCTCTCGCGGGCACCATCGTAGCCACCATGACCCCATCGCAGCCACCATGGCCCATGGCACCGTCGCAGCCCTGCGGGAAGGCAGCTGCTCCCGCCGGCTCCGGCCTCTCGGCCAGGCTGCCCGGGTGGCACCGCCAGGCTGGTGGAGCACTCTGAGCCATGAGGCACACAGCGCCAGGAATGAGTTTGCTGAGCTGCTCGGGCTCCGGGCAGGTAACATGCTGAGGCACGTCACGAACGATGATTAGCAAAACCGAGTCCCACACCAATAGACACACTGCACTGGGAACCAGGTTGCTGTGGCACACATTGCCCCAGGACCGGCTAAAAACCTTGTTTCTTCAAGATTTCATGCATTTACCATGAGAATAAATCAGAAAAAAAGCATCTCCTGTTATGTTATGCCGTGTAATTTTTGCCCAAAGAAAGGAGCGATATCGCCAACCACTCTGCAGCAAATTAAACACAGCTGGATGCAGGTAACATCATCCTGGCTCCAGCAGTAACGCTGCAATTTTATTCTTGGGGGATGAAAAGCAGGCTCCAAGCAGCTATTTCTGGAAAAACTCTGCCCAAGATCAAGATTGGCTTCAAAGGCCAGTCCTCACGGCCACTCATCTTGCACCATGAGATGAACGATGCCCTGAACGCATCCGCACAAGCACTGCTGTACTGGTAGGACAAAGGCAGGGCAGGAGGCACCGCATCGAGGGCACGACGGCTCTGCCGAGCCGGGGGTTGGCTAGCCCTGACACACGCTGATGGAAAGGCTTCACGAATCTGTAGTGATAAAAAAGAAATCTGCTGCTGGACTTCTTTTTCCTTTTTTTTTTATTAGGGAGGACATTGCAATGAAAAGGGGATTTTTATCAATTCCTCGTTCCCCGAAGGCAGCTACAATCACTCTCCAACTGTATTTAGCAGTTGTGGAGCTTATTTTCAGGCACCAGAGCACTGGAGGCAGCGGGGATGCACTCAGGGGTTGCAGCTGATGATCTCTCCATGCCCTCAGTACCAACGAGCAAGGGGCGGTGATGCACGGCGGGGCAGGGAGCACAGCACCGACCCAGCAGCACCCCGCGCTTCCAAAAACACGAGTTCAGCTCCGGGGTGAAGCGGGACACGCTGCTTCATCCCAGAGCTGCTCCGGTGCCTCCCCAGGCTGGGAGCCCCGGCTCGGGGCTGTCCCCGGGGGACAGCACTGCTCTGGGTAACGGCACACGTGTGCGCCGCGGGAAGGTGGCACAAGGCGAGCACGGCCGAGAGGAGCCGGGGGAGCACCAAGGGGCTCCGTGCCGTGCCCATGTGCAACCCTAACGACACGCCTGCAGCAAGTAGGGGAGCGGGCCCTGGCCCACAGCCTGCTCCCGATGCTGGGTGCCGAGCCAGGCAGGACGGGGAGCCCCTGCCAGCAGTGATGTGCTATGCGGGGGCCTGATCCAGGCCTCTCCTCGCGGAGGGCTCTCGCTCGGCACTGTCCGAGGACACGCGTCCCCAGCTGTGGGCCCTGGGCGAGGACACGCTCATTCCCCGAGTCATCTTCCCGCTGCGTCTCCCATCCAAGGGCTCGGCAGCCTCGCGGATGCACGGCGCAGCCCCAGCCCTGGCCCCACGCTGCTCGCTGCCCCGGCACCACTTGCTCTTAATAAAACAATAATAATAAAAAAGATTAAAACCCAGAAAGAGAAGAAGCAACGGAATAACACACTGTGTTTTGTTTGGCTAATTTGTTTTGCAACATTGGAGATTGACACCCATGAGTCTGCTCCTATAATTGCTTATGCTGATGAATCTGGATTGTTTAATTGGAGTCTGCGCATGGAGCTCGTTGCTAATGGGTAATCACCAATTTGCTGCCAAGGATATCACTTCTTCCCCAAGAAACTTGTCTGCCTGTGAGCACAGCTAGTCCTCCCCACGGTGGGAACCATTGCTCTTTCGGAAGGGTTTGCTGGTGCCATACACAACTCCTTGGTGCCCAGAGCAGTAAAGGACCAACCTCGCACTTATCAGCTCTCTTAAAAGCAGAATAATCTATCACTAATTTAAAGTCAAGGCTGCCCGCTGTTCTTGGCAGCAGGTACTGCCCAAAATACTTGGCTCACAAGGCAGCATGCACACATGCACGGCACAAACACCCCCGATTGCAAGGGGTTTTTGCTCTCCGGAGAACGCGGTTAGCTTTTGCCCGGTGGAAGAGTGACGGTCCCCGGGGCCGGCGGGGCCACAGCAGCCCTCGCCCCCCT